AAACCAATGCCGTACAGGTACACGATCAATTTACCTAACGACATTTTGCCTAACGGACAGTTTACCTGACTTTACCTGGATTACCTGGATTACCTGGATTGTCCAGGCTATCAAACGTTTATAACGTTGCTGGCCACTAGGCCCCCAAAGTTTCCGTGCGCCTCAATTGTTTTAGCCTGAATTTTTTAGCCTCAGTTTCCCAACCAACGGTTTTTCAGTGGGTATTTTGCCCAATAGGTAAACTGTTTCTTGGGCAAACTGTCCCTTGGGCAAAATGTCAACACAATACAATAAATCAACGCGTCAATATTAGCGGGTATTTTGCCCAATAGGTAAACTGTTTCTTGGGCAAACTGTCCGTTAGGCAAAATGTCAACACAATACAATAAATCAACGCGTCAATACAATAAAATAAACCCAAATTAGTCGTACTGAAATTAAATGAAATGGCCAACGATACTGAAACAAAAATATTTTACACTGAAGGGGTCTACGACAATTGGACGCCAGGGACAATTGTTGGTCGGGGTCCCACAACGAAACGAGTCGATTCGTTTCGATACGGTACTTTTTAAATGTGCACCACTATGTAATCAGGAAAATGCAGTTGATTTACTCCGAATTACTCCAATTGATAGGTGTTAACCTCAGATTCCAGTTCGGGTAAATCTTTCCCGAATCCTGGGAAGGCAGAAAGAATCTATTAAACATTTACACAAATATTTCAGCCGTATCGTTTCATTCCTGGGAAGGCAGAAAGAATTTATTAAACATTTACACAAATATTTCAGCCGTATCGTTTCATTGCCGAACGTGGTGTTGCCTGATCATCAACTGCTACTCACAAATGGTTAATTAGCTCAATGCTTTTCCATTCGTGTCCGTGAAAATTTACGGAGAAATTCCGGAAAACGAGTGGATTTTCCGGAAAATCCGGAAAATTCCGATAATTCAACTGGAAACTGCAAAATTGGAGCAGAATTTTCGGAAATTTCACAATACTGGAACACAGCAAAACAGAACAGAGCAGCCTGATTGTTCAGTTACATTTTGTCTGATTGATCAAGGTCTGATCAAGATTATGGGTGATCGTGATCATGATCATGATCCGCTGGCATTACAGGTACCAGCACTACGCGCTGCACTCTACTCTTCCGATTTGGATAAACGAAAAAGCATGCTTCGTTTGGTGATCCGACTGACAAAATTGGACTCGTGTGGTCCGGCTCTAGTCCCATACTATCGTCAGCTACTTCCACCCCTTAGTCAGCGAGTTACTCTGCAAAATTCTCTAGTGTCTCACCTCAAAAAATTTCATTGGATCAAGATATTCTGCTAGACTGATTAAAATTTGATCAAGAAATCGGTGATCTCGATCGCGATCGTGATCGTGATCCAGATCATGATTACAATGATCATTTAGTCATCAAAAAATCGATCATGAGATCAAGCTTTCACTAGTTGTAAGCCATTCAATAATCTCATCACCAAATGATTTTCAAATCAAAATGGGATGATTTGAGTGGAAATTGGTAAACGTTTGTGAATTTTTTGCAAAAATCACAAATTTTAGGGGTGATCGAACATTCTGGACTTCAGATGGAGATCAACTATCAATATGGTGCCAGTCTCACAGAGCTAATCGAGACCACATTGGGTTGTCTAGAGCGGACTGGCGGACCGAACGCCTACATCAACATCAAATACATCATACCAACCTATCAA